CATTGGAAAATGCGATCATTGTGATTCAGTATGCAAAGGTGAAAACGTATCAAGGTACTACAAATGCTTATATACTAAAAACATTATGTTGATTATTTTATGGAAACCTTATCGTCATCTTTTCTGTTAATTTTAATTTAAAACTACCTGTGTGGAGTATTTGCAGGAAATATAAATTTGCAGAATGTCATGTACGGAACGCGTCTCCTGTTAAATCCTGAAATAGAAGAGGTTGTTGCATTCAGACAAAGGTATAAAAATTCAGAACTTGAAACTTTTACAAACTACCGTAAATATGTGTCTGTTTTCCACTCACTAACTATGCACACATGTCTCATTTGCAAAAGGATTGTTGGTGTGCCAACGAACCGTCGACCTCTTGAGTTGCCCTGTGATGACATGACAGTCGTGCAGCAAAATGAATTTTTGGATGCCACGCGAATGACGACAATCTCTTTGCTGAAGGATGGTAGTGAGGTATTAATGATATGTTTTTAAATATAACAGCCTCCAACGTTAAATGTTTATTATTGTGGTGGTTTCGCCCATACGCTAATATATGATTTCTATTCTACAAGGATGGTACCTATATAGTGTACGCCACTGTTGTTTCTGTGAACAATGTTGGGGATTGGTTTTATTTGGCTTGCAAGTGTAATAGGGCTGTGAAAGCTGATGGTACCATGTACTATTGCATGTATTGTGGGTGTCGTGTTATGAATGTCACCTCAAGGTTAAGTTTATCATACTCTGACTTTCCTGACATTCACTTTTATTTTCTGCTGCATAGTGTACTAAATATGATTTTTATTCAGATATCTAATCAAGCTATCTGTTAGAGATGATTCCGGTTCAGCTATCTTTGTGTTATTTGACCATGAAGCCGCTTCGATTTTAAATACGTCATGCTCCGTTTTGCTGGAAAAGACAGATAGTGTATGTGTACTTTGGTTAATATATTTTACGTATTTCTGTTATTTAATCCTTGATCAGTTAAAGACTCTTATTTTACACCAATTGAAGGATGGAAGTACTGAAAGTCCAAAAGAGTTTGCTGATTTTTTGATGGGTAAGAGTTTCCTATTTAAGGTCGAAGTCAAGTCGATGTTCAGAGGACGCCTAGAACAATCTTTCAGGGTATCAAAAGTGTGTCATGATGCAACAATCCTGACTCAATATTTAGAAGGTGTTTCGCCCCATGATATAAAAAATACCTCAATGAATCATGGGCTACTTTATTCAGTGGATGAGGAATTTCTTAAACTTACTAAGGCTGCAACAATAGATACATTGAAAGATTGTATTGAGGTTAGATGAGTATATTACACTAAACACGCGCGCCTGACTTTACGGGTAATGTAGTGACTTAAGCGTGTTTTGATCTGTAGGACGGTGAATATGCAGTATACGGTACGATCAAGGATGTTGATTCTGATTGGTTTATAACAGTGTGTAGGTGTGGGTCCGAAGTGGTCCCACGCGGTGGATCCTACTATTGTAATGAGTGTAAGAGACGAGTGATGAATCTGATCCCAAGGTTTGGTTTTTACTAATTTCCAATGCTTAATGCTTTATGTCAACAATTTTTTATTAATTGACTCCTGAAAAACAATTATGATTCAGGTATCGAATCAAGACAAGAGTTGTCGACACCACGGACAGTGCTACTTCCGTAGTACTTGAAAGCGTTGCATGCTTGCTCCTCCACAAATCATGTTCAGAGATGTTGAAATATTCTGAGTTATGGATAAATATGTGATTATAACAGCTCATCTTACACCTGTTTTAAAACCAAATTTAAATTCTTTGACACATGTTGAGGTATTCATCATCGTGATTTATTGAACTATTTTAAACCCCGTAGTTCTTTAAAGGAAAATATGGACAAAATAGAAACATGCACTGTCTCATAATTGGTCTCGAATAGATTGACAGAACAATGACATCTGACTTTATGTTTCTTGACATCTTCTTTAAGCATTTTTTAAGCATACACTATACTCAATACCTCCTCCGCATTGTCTTAAATCTTCTACTCTTGATTTTTTTGTAACTGTCTGAACTCTAATTCCATGTAATTTGAAATCGCACAACATGTGAGGGCTCTGCAATTAAACATTTTATAAATACAACAACCACAACACAACTTTGTGGGAAGCAATAGAAATGTATTTGCCAAAGTTTGAACATGCACAACTAAATAACCTATCAGGTAATGTAAAACTGACACAACAATGAGAGATGCACTGCCTGAATAATACTGCACCTGGATTTTTCTTTTTCCTCCTGATCATTTAAAATGATGGTTTAGAATGGCAGCTTCTTCTCAGGTTTAAAGACATTGATGGAAATAAAAAATATTCAGCAGTATACTCCTCTGTACTGACTGAAACTGACTGCCCTTAAATTTGGACTTGCCCTGCAATATGTTATAAATACAAAATGAAAACATTGAGACATATAACATTGGTTCTTGTTGCTTGCTTTTCTTACTAATGGTTATTGTAATTGTTCATACAGAATCTGCCGAGTGGAGACATAAAACCCGATGTCTTTAATAAACTCTTGATAGATAAGTCGTATCTTTTTAAAGTTGATGTTAGGCATTCTCAGTTCAATGACTTTGATCCTACCTATAATGTCATTGACATTTGTTTTGATGAAAGAACAATCTCGCGATTCAGGGAAAGGCATGCAACATTTTTCTCCGTCCAGGTTCGTGAACATTATTAATCGAATGTAAATATCACTTAGTGAAAATTTTGTTCTGTTACTAATAAGACATAATTTTAAGATGCAAATAAAATGCTTAATGGGTAAATTATTATTAATAGACTGATGTGACTTTGGGACTTTCAACTGGAGAAAAATCATCACAGCATACCTTCTCCATGGGCGAGGCATCATCATGTGTCAAGGTTAGGACTCTAAAAAAATGCACAAGTAATTTAACTTTTGCTCAATTTTTTAATTTTTTGGCATGGCATATGTGAGTTGATAGGAAAAAGTTTA